CCTTTCCCTCTGGTAACTACCATCTCTTCTTTTTGGTTTCTTTCCTTTAGCATACAACTATATGCATGGCTTCCATATTACAAAGTTTGCAGTCAACCTATGCCTGCCTTGGGGCACTACCCTGTTTTTCGTATGCTCTTTATCGTTCAGTTTTTGAAAGTTTTTCATCTACACTCTTTAATTCCTAACCGTTTTCATCCTTTCATCCATTGCAATCTGGCTCATGCTCCCACTACTCCACCCAAACTGCATTCCATCAAGTCATTGGTGATGCTCTCACTGCTAAATCTAATGGCTTCTCTGCAAGTTTCATCTGCTTGTTTTCTCAGTGACATGGTTGAACACTTCCTCTTCCTTTCTAAATTATTTGATTACATAAGATGTATATGAGTATTTTCACATTGTCCAAAAAGGCAAAAGTTCTCTTTATCATTACGCCCCACCTAAATCTGTACTTTGCCATCCTACTGCAATCCAATTTCCTTTCTTAGAAGTACTAGTAATCAGTGCTGGAGAGCATTCTTGCAGACACCTATTTTTAATACATTCAAGTGTGTAGGTGGATATCTAATCTTTCTTCCTTCTTTCCTTCCTTCTTTCCTTCTTTCTACCTTTCATATAAATGGTATTGTATTTTACTTTTCTTCTGCAATACTACAGTATTGGAGTCTTGCAATCTTGTGGAGCTTAACATATCAGATTATATAAGTCTAGCTAATTTTTAAAAATATATTTTTATTGATTTCAAAGATGGAGGGAGAGGGAGAAAGAGATAGAAACATCAATAATGAGAGAGAATCATTGATTAGCTGCCTCCTGCATGCTCCACACTGGGGACTGAGCCTGCAACCTGGGCATGTGCCCTGACTAGGAATCGAACTGTGACTTCCTGGTTCATAGATCACTGCTCAACCACTGAGCCATACCAGCCAGGCAAGTCTAGCTAATTTTTTAAACTACTAGATAGATGGATCTACCATAATATATTTAACCATGTCCCTACTGATGGATGTTTAAGTAGTTGTAATGAACATTCTGAATTGTGCCCTTTTGTTCACATCAAAGACTTCTTTAACATAGACACATAGAAGTTAAATTTCTGGGTCAAAGGTCATGTGTATTTAAAGACCTGATAAACTAAAATTACTCTCCAAAAGAACTGTATCAGCATATAATCAGACCAAAAATATATCTGATATATAACAATATGTCATTATCCCACACCACTGTCAGCAAGTTGTCATCAATTTGATGGACATATTAGTGTTGTAATTTATATAACTGATTATTCTTTTCATGTTTAATAATTTATCTTTTATTTTCTGTGAATTGACTGTTCATATCTATTGCTCATTTTTCTAATCAATTATCTTTATTTTTCTAATATGTAGGAGCTCTTTTTATATTACAGATATCAGATATTTGCTATTATTTTCTTCCAGGTTATCACTTGTCTTTCACTTTGTTTAGAATACACTTAATCATACAGATTTTAAAGGTTTATGTATTCAATTTCCTTACTTCTTTTTACTACTTTGTTTTGTGTCTTCTGAAAGAGCCTTTCCTACCCCAAAATTATAAAAACATCCTATATTTTCGTCTTATACTTATTTGGTGTTACTCTTTCCATCTAGCTCCTAAATCCATCAGGAATTTATTCAATTTATCTAACTAAGAAGAAGACCAAGTGGCTGAAGCCAGGAAGAGAGCAGTGAGAGTGGGGCTGAGAGTGAGGCAGGCAGGGCAGGCATGTTAAGGATATGGATTTTAATCATGAGAGCAATGGGATTAAACCCTTAAAAGGGTGCAAGAGGGTACCAAGATCAGTTTTTACTAGTAGCTCTAAAAGGACCACTGGGATGCTTCAGACAAAATAAAATAACCTTCACATAAAAGACTAGACTGTTTAACAATATTCATTATAGAGAAATGACAGTTAGTAGAGGTGGAAGGGCATATACTAGTAACTTCCTTCTTTTGTCTCTTTGCCCAAATAGTTTAAAAAAACTTAGACATTGGTTTCTACTACAGTAACCCAGGGAAGGAGAGTACCTGAAAGTTCTGAAACAGACAAGCCATGGGGTTATTGTTAGCTGGGCAGGGAATTGTGGGCTGTCCTTGGAATGCCTGGAGATTCGGGTACCCCTGAAGAATCTGCTGCTGCTGCTGCTGATTTGGAGGAAACATCTGATTGTTGTTTAACAGCGACTGTAGATGAGTCAGTTGATGATTATTCAAAGTATTGTTTATTGAGGACATGTCACCTATGGTTTGGAAAACATAAAATGTAAGTCAATGTGATTCTTTGGCAATCCTATGCCTATCCTTGTACCCAACGATTCCTGAAACAAAAACTAAAAACTAGACTTACATGATAAAAATTTTTTTCCTCTTTTTCTCCTCAAAGTCTCACTAACTGGTAAGGAAAAGAGTATTTTACTATTTAATTTTATCTTTCATAATTATTTTTTTGGTTTTATGTCATGAGAGATGAGTCTTTCTCTATCCATTAGCCAGTCCTTACATTGAGCATCAGTGTTAAAAATTCCTTGAAACTATTTTTATTAAAGCACCTACAATTAAAGGTAGAAATTAGTCCTAACCTGTTTTAGCAATCATAAGGATTTGATCAGATGATTAAAATAAGTGGATCTGGTCAGGCTTTGTTTACAAAGTTTAGTTCTCAAGTCACAATCATCACCAATTACCACCAAATAAAACTGGATTTTGTCTGGAAATATGTATTTTGTTTTTAAGTGAAAGGTTGGTCACCTAAAATTAAAATTGTAAAGAAAGTGAACAATACAAAAAGAAATCATTATCATAATCATTAAAAAATAAATATTATATAATCATGTAGGATTAGCTAATAACTAAATTTATATTCAAAATTCAAAATAGACTTGTTTTGAAATTACACTGAAGTTATTTTAAAGATGATGTCAAAGGAATTGTCCTGTAACTTGAAATATATAACACTAGTATGCTTTTTAAGACGTAACTGCATCGATTTCAATGACAAATAGAACTAATTAAACTGTATTATAAAGGTGTCCATAGATCTGGAAACATATATATATATATTTGCATACATTGGGCATGCCCTTGACAATATCAAGTATATTTGCTGATGCTTCCAGACTTTATGGAAACCATCTCTGTATTTTATATTATAGTCACCTGCATCAATCAGTTGAATATACTTGACATTATTATCTAACATTTTTGTGACATTATAATTTACATGAAGAATTTTGTTTTTAAGCCACAAAAATTTTAAAGAACAATACTGTTGGAGGAAACCTAACAATAGCTATTGGGGCTGTTTCCTTGAACTTGGACACATTTTAACTTTGAATGTTTTTATGCCTTGTTTCTTATTTTGCTCAATAAGTATTTAATTCTGTTTATTGAGGGATCACCTGGAAAAACACTTCCTGAGACTGTTTCCATCCACGGTGCAGCTGCTCATACTAACCCTGTGATGCCACACCAACTGAAATTCAAATAAAAGTTATTTTTAAGATGTACCTGTGCTTTATTATTTGAAAAATAAGACTCTACTTGGCTTAAGAGGATGATGGATAGGTTAGCGTTAGGTGGCATCAGAATTAGAAGATAAGCGAAGGCAGATTAAAATGATATTTAGTACTGCTAGGATAGGGGAGAAGAAAAAAGTCATTTTCATGTTTGTATAACTATGGTGGTGTGTGGGTGTTATTATATTTAGTTCCTTAAGCAAGCTGTGACATAACAAAAACATTTTTAAAAATAGTGTGACAAAATGGAGTCTTTAAAAATGAGAAATTAGAATTAGAAAAACGTTTCTTTTGTAAAAATTTGTGAAAAAATGTAACTTACCAAGCAGACCTGTCCCCAGTAGAGGGTTAAGTAGCTGTGGCACCACAGAGTTACTGTTGAGTTTAGCTGGACCAGGTGTGTTCCCAGCACTATTAGATACATTCAGCAATGTTTCTGCCATTGACACCACTGCTGTCCCACCAAGTGTTGAGACAGTCAGTGCTGCCACTGCTGATGATGTAGTGGTTGTGGTAGTGGTTGCCTGGGAGGAAGTTGCTATGGAAACCTCTGGATGATTAGCGGTGTTGGCCGATGCTGAGTTCAGGACACCTCCCAACAGCTGGGGATTCAAGGCCATTAATCCTGAGGCCCCAGTGACAGCTGGGAGGAACAGGGGGTTAAAAGTAGTGTCACTGCCTGCAAAGCTGGGTAAAGGGTTCCCCAGGGGGCTGGTTAAAAGGGTCTCAGCTCGGCTGTTCTCTGACTGATTGCTTGGCAAATGGTCTGGTGGGGCTGTCATCTGTGTTAAGGAGGGTAAAGGGGTATTTTGCTGTTGAAAAAGATCTGAGATGGTCAGATTGAAAGATGGCAGGGGAAGCATGGCAGCTGCGTGGGCTTGGTTCTGAAGCAGGGCCGCTAAGAGCTGAAAGTGGACAGGCTGCAATCCCTGCCCATCCATGTCACCGGAGAGAAAAGCTAAAGCAGCGTTTACATTCGGGTTGAGAAAACCTAAAGGGTGGAGGTTGATCTCAGACTTGCCTTCTCCCGCTGAAGGCTGGAGGATATTTAATAGATTCTGGTTTAGGAGATGCTGTTGATTCACTGGCAAAGAGATAGGTAGAGAACTGAGGAGGCTGGGGTTCAAGGGGTGTGGAAGATGGTTGTTTGAAGTGCTGTTGGATGGAAAATGAAGTGCGTGCTCCTGGCCAACAAAAGGAAAGTCACTCCCGATGGGCAGCTGACTCTGCAGTGGGTTTCCAGCCGCGGTGGTGACGATGACGCCGTCCTGGAGAACAGATGTTGTCTTGGTGATGGCAGGATGGCTGGTGCCAGCGATGGCAATGGAGGATGAGGGTCCTGAACCGCCTAAAATGAAAACAACACAAAACAAAAATGCCGCGCATTAATTGTGGATGTGAAGGAAGACAACCCCATGAAAACACATTGAAATCCATTTCAACTATCTCATTACCTGTCCCCTTTACTGATTTTAATCAGAGAAATTGTGATCAGAGATGATATCCCATCTGTGAATGACACACGTTTCCTAACCTACTTTGAAAATACATTTATTGGAGAAGTTTAGGTTACTAAGAAAAAGCTTGTTTTTCACATCTGGACAGAGTGAAGATGGAGGAAGTTCTGTAGTAGTTCATTCATTTGGTTTAGATAAAAGCAACAAGCCTTCATTTTTAAAAAATATTTTTCCTTTTAAAAAAGTTTTTGTTCTTCTATTTGTAATATTAGTACTTCCTTTTAGTAAAAAAAAACAAAGTAGAATATGCATGAGCATATAAAACAGAAAATAAAAAGTACTTATAAATATTTTAATATTTTAATGTATAGTTTTCTGGACTTTACCCACCTGTACTAGTATTTGTATATATTTACACACACATACACACATATACACATATATACACGTGTTACATATTTTAACAAAAATGGAATCATGCTGTCTTATAACTTTTTCATTTATCAATATATCTTTCCATGTTAACTCTTTTAACTACAGAGTTATTTTACTAGTATCATGTATGGATATACCATAATTTAATCAACATACAGTTGTGATATTTTGATTGTTTACAATCCTTTACATGGTAAGCAGCACTAACTCATTTTTGTCAATATACTAAATTACTTTCTAAAGATAAAGTCTTGAAAGTGGAATTCCAGGAACAGAAGAGTTTACATAAATTTAAAGCTTTGAATACTTCCTGTCAAACTGCCCTCCAGCCAAGTTGATCAATATACACTCAATTTCCATTTCTATAAACAGTGCACAGTAGTGCTCATTCTCACCAACATTGTGTTTCGTTATTTTTAAATCTTTGCTACTCTGATAGCATAAAGGTACTTTGCACTCATTATTCCTTAAGTCAGACAAGTCTTCATCCAAACAGCATTTTTAATCTTGAAAGTCTTATGCAAGAGATGAAAATTCAGGAAATTCAATATTTAAAAATACAAAATTTGGTTGCTTAATTTTTTCAATCCAAGCTGCACAACAGAATTACCTGGATAACTTGAAAAGAAAAGAAATAAAAAGCAATGCCTTGAGCCCTATTCCAGACCAGTTGAAAACCCATCTCTGGGGCACACCCAGCCTGAGCAGTAGCATTTTTTCAAATCACCCCTGGAGATCCCGATGCACACGAGGTGGGGTGAGGAGGGTAAGGATCACATCTGTTGAAAAGTAGCCTGTAATCATTTTTTCATAAAAGGTTTTCCCCTAAAGAGATGCATTGTTTTATGTGATACATGCATTTGGCAAATGTTTATTATCACAAGCATATGCATTTAATTTCCTATTAAAACATAAACATGTATATAGTATATTAAACAATACCACTGACACTGGAAACCTAAAATAATTCAAAAATTTTACTGCTGTACTATGCCATCGTAAGACATTTTACATTTGACCAAGTAACCCATGGAGGCCTCGTTCAAACACATAGAAATGTTTCCGTAGTTATAATAATAGTACAAATATGATTTTATAGTCTTCCTGTTTTCTCCTAACAGAATAACACGAGAATTTTTCCTTTATGATATACAGACTTTGTATTAATATTTTTAAACCATATAGTATATGGATTGACCATATCATGTAAAACATTCTGATACATTTTGGCATTTTGATTTTTTTCATTATTATGTATAACACGGGGATGCACATCTTATTGCATATGATACTTTCCTATCTTTGAATTGTCCTTAGGAAAAATTCCATCATTGGCATGATTGTTATGAGAATCAAAAATAGGTACATGAAAGGCTTGTAATATGTAAAAATCTATACAAATAAAAGGAGTTATCGTCATCATTACTACTGGCATTCATGTATGTAGTTAGTAGTGGTGATGTGGCAATAGCAGTTAGTATATCCAACACATCAGCATATCTAACACTCCTTACAGAATGTCTCTATAGCACGACTTTATAATTTTTCCCAGCTGTCATGTCTGCTTTTTTTTTTTAAAGCTCTGTGTTTCATTTCAAGAATAAGATTTTAAAATGTCCTTTGTTTAAAAATATATAAATATTTATAAAATATTATCATAAAATAATGAGTATGTTCACAAAGAGTGGGGTCAGAGCATATCAAATGCTGAGATAGGCATATGGCATACAATTATTTAAATATTAATTCAGATTTGTGATAAAACAATCAACATCTTAAACATTTCATTGCCTCTTAAATCTTGTTGCTATTTCTATAAATAGGTACTGTGCTTTATTTGCATCTGGAAACCATCTTTTTAAATAAGTGAATAAAAACTCTTATTAATTGGTAATCACTACCCGAGGCCTTTCTCCCTATTTGCTAAATAATAATGACTTATTTAAATGTACAGATCACCATTCAGAGCACATTTTCAAAATATTCCAGCATGTAGGTGACAGGGCTTTGTAGAAGAAGGATTTCCATAGAGGTTATTCTTTTTAATCTTTGTTTTCCAAGAGAAACATTTATATTTAAGATTCAAGAAAGTAGCCCTTGGGGGACATTATAAGTCTCCATCTAAATATTATTGAAAAATGACAATAAAGAAATGTAGTTACTTTGAGTGTATTTTCACATTACAAACAAGATGATGGTGAAGAGAACAACCTTTTCAAGAGTAATATGTGGATCAAAGACCATTTTTTAAAACATTTTTCTCCAATTTTCAACCAATCAGTGCAACAAACAGGTATCATACCTCTTCTGAACAAAAGGATAGAAATGATTATACAGAAACAAAAACCAAACATAAACACCACAAAACACCCTGCCCTTTCCTGCAGGAACTCGGTTCAGCAGTCCTGAGCACACAAACCTCCTTGTCTCTCTTTTTCTTCTTTCAAAGACACATTATTGAGAGCTTATTACGAACCAGGAACTAATGTTCTTTTCATATAGCCAGTGTACCTGTAATAGCTAAGAGCTATAATAGGCATATAACAGGAAGGCAATTGTAAAACTGAAGGTGTCAGGGAAAACTAAGCAAGTGGTAATATTTGATCTGGGATTTGAGAGTGGAAAAGGAGAGAAAGGGCTTCTAAGTAAAAGGAAAGTAATTAAAAAAAAAACAAGACAAGGAGGTAATAAAATGCATGGAGAGTAATGGATTCTTATATATCTTCGAGCAAATAAATATGACTGAAAATATTATAAGCTGCTTTCCCAGACACACTGGCCCTGCCACCTATAGTTAAACGTGCGGCCTTCGACAAGAGGTAATGACATTTGAAATAATCTTTCTAAACAATTAAAGGCAAGGACCACTTCTTATTTTCTTCTGCATTCCAAGACCTAACACAGTCTCACACATGGTTGGCGTTCAGAAAATGTTTCTTGGTTGAATTAATCTGTTAAGAAGTTCAGAAGACTTGCACTGATTTTCTAGAAATCAGATCATTTGCATTCAATGGTGTGTGCCTGTGGCATGTGTGTATGTGGAGAAAGGGAGAGCATACCACCCATTGGTGGAGAAAGTAGTAACCTGGCCCTCCCGATGCCAGGAGATGAGACGTTGGAGAGGAGATGGCTGGAAGATGCCAAGTTGCTTTAGAAGGCTCCCCGGTGTCTAGGGAGTCAAAATCTCCTTAGAGAGGAAGAGTCCTCACAAAGTCCTGTTCTTAAGGTCACTCGTTAATGCGTGGGGTCATTTGGAGGACCCTGGGTTTTTATAGCTGGAGATAAGTTGGAGGGTGCTTATTTCTGAGCCACTTAATCTTGAACAGGCACTCTCTGGTGAACCTACATCACAGTTCTGCATAAAAACCTTGTCTGTTGAAGCATTTGGGAAAACAATGATTTTCTTCTTTCCTTTTTCCCATTCCTTGTCTTTTTCTTTTCTTTTCCCTTCCTGCCTTCTTTCCTGCCTGCCTGGCTGTCCACCTTTACTTAGTTTGTAGCCAAGATGTTTCATGCTTAATCTAATGAGATGAACAGTTAGTTTTTGAAAAAGCAAACTATTCATTAACCATTTAGCAGTTAAATAATCAAAAGGCAGCTGGGAGCCTGGAAGAAATGTCGGAGAAGTCCTTTAATTGGAAAAAGTGATTATTTCATACCAGCCGGCAGTACCATGAACTGGCATAGTTTTTCTCTTTGTCTTTGTTGCTTCTGAAGAAGAGAGAAGACTTATAAAGCTACCCAAATAAACCTTCCTGGTTCGAGATCATGTGCCTTGATCCCCAATCAAAGGGTGAGAGTCTCTAGCACAATGAGGAAAGGACTTGCCCAGCTGGGTTATTCCCAAATATAAATAGTACTCTTTGCCAACACATATAGTTTATCTCTCTCTGTGTGTACACAGAAATAGCATCAGCAAAATTTTTCAAAGAAAATTTTAAGGCTATTTTTCCTACTATTACTAATTTTCATTCTTGAGTTTTATTTGCCTCATTAAAAATGCTTTTCAAAACAAAGGTACTGTCTACCTCTTTAGATTTATCTTCTGTGTCACCAATATTCTTTAAGAAAAGTCATTGTTCACATTATGCTAACTTTTTTAAAGGCTGGATCTTAACACATTGTGGACCAGTAGTTTTATTGCTAGCTTTACCCAGTGGCCAGATAAGTTTCTATTGAACGAGTACAAAAAACGTTTTACATAAATGTTAAAGGCATGCTTAAAAATTAAATACCCATTGCATTTTGAAGTTATTTATTACATGTTCTTACAAGTTAACATCTTTTTAAAGTATGATACTTTGTAAAACACTGTGTACTATGAAGCGAGAATTCTCATGATCGGTCCGCAATGTGTTAAGTATTAATATTGTATATGTCTTTGTATGTGTACAAAATAGGGCATTAATTAAGCTCATACCAAATAGACCAATAAGTTGTTTTTAAAATGTCATTA